GACAAATGGAAAGAGTTCCTTATTTGTTACAGCAGCTTAGAATTCCATTGTGTAGATGTATCAGTTTTTTTAATCCACTGATCTGCTGATGGGCACTTAGGCCGTTTCCAAATCTTAGCTATTGTAAATTGTGCTGATACGAACATAGGGGTGCATATATCCTTTCTGAATGATTTCTTGGGATATATTCCTATAATTGGGATTACTGGGTCAAATGGGCATTCTATTTTTAATTTCTTGAGGAAATGCCATGCTGTTTTCCACAGTGGCTGCACCAATCTGCATTCTCACTAGCACTGCACAGGGGTCCTTTTTCTTCACTTCCTTGCCAGCACTTGTCATTTGTTGATTTTTTGATGATGGCCATTCTCACAGGTGTGAGATGGCACCTCATTGTTGTGTTGATTTGCATCTCTCAGATGTTTAGTGACTTTGAGCATATTTTCATGTCTCTTGTCCTTCTGTATGTCCACTTTCGAAAAGTGTCTATTTAGGTCCTTTGCCCATTTTTTTTATTAGATCGTTCATCTTCCTTCTGTTAAGATGTATGAGTTCCCTGTATATTTTGGAGATTAGGCCTTATCAGAGATAACATTGGCAAATATGTTCTCCCATGCAGTGGGCTTTCTTGTTGTTTTATTGATGATTTATTTTGCTCTGAAGAAGCATTTTATTTTGATGTAGTCCCATTAGTTTATTTTCTCCTTAGTTTCCATTGCCCTTGGGACTGTATCAGTGAGAATATTGCTTCGACAAATGTGTGCTATTTTGCTGCATATTGCTTCTTCTAAGATTTTTATGGTTTCCTGTCTTACATTTATGTCCTTTATCCATTTTGAGTTTATTTTTGTGTATGGTGTAAGTTGGTGGTCTAGTTTCACTTTTTGCATATATCTCTCCAATTTCTCCAACAGCATTTATTGAAGAGACTGTCTTTACTCCCATGTATGCTCTTGCCTCCTTTGTCAAATATTAATTGAGCGTAATGGCTTGGGTCTATTTCTGGGTTCGTTGTTCTGTTCCATTGGTCTATATGTCTGTTCTTGTGCCAGTACCAAGCAGTTTTGAGAACAGTGGCTTTGTAGTATAGCTTGATATCTGGTATTGTCATCCCTCCAATTTTGTTCTTTCTCAGGATTGCTGCAGCTATTCAGGCTCTTTTATTATTATTATTATTATTATTATTATTATTCCATATGAACTTTTGAAAAGTTTGTTCTAGGTCTGTGAAATATGCCATTTTAATAGAGATTGCATTGTCCTTCTGCCACCTCAATTATACATATGTTACTTCATTTCATGTTGTCCCAAAGCTCTCTTAGGCTCTCCTCCTACTTTCTAATTTTGTTCTCCAATTGCTGTTCAGATTGGGTGTATTTTTGTGCCCTGTCTTATAACTCACTAATTCAGTCCTCTGCTTCTTCTAGTCTACTGTTGAAACCTTCGATTGTGCTTTTTACTGTAGGTATATAATTTTTGATTCCACTTGATTCTTACATAAGTTGTTGATTTTCTTATCCAGCTGGTTTAGGAACTGTATGACCCTTACTCTGAATTATTTTTCTGACTTATAGCATCGCTCTATTTCATTTAGTTCCTTTTCTGGCCATTCCTCCTTTTCTTTCATTTTGGGGTTGTTTCTTTGTTTCCCCATTTTTTCTCTCACCAAAAGGTCCAGGCACTGAGTCACACCGGATCTGTGTCTGAAGTGGCGGGCTTGGCTGGAGGGTTGCACACTCTGAGACTCAATGGAGGGCCCAGATGCCAGGTCGCATGGGGCCTGTGGCTGAAGCAGCGAGGTTGGCAGGAGGGGAGCACCTCTGGGTCTCACAGGAGCCTGCAGCCAGGGAGGCTGGATTTCCGGTATCTGTGGGTCTACAGATGAGGTAGCAGGTCTTTGGCTGAAATGGCTGCAGTGTTTGGCATGGTGTCTGGGGCCAGTCTGGTGTTGAGGCTGGGCTCCTAGACAAAGCCTTTCCTTCAAGGTGATATGGTTTCTGTGCCAGAGCTGGTCACCCTGGGAGTGCTTGCAGTGGTAGCAAGGGCTCCCCATTTTGTAGAGCCCAGTCTGCCAGCTTTTGAGACTCCTGCAGGATCTAACCGTCCCTCATTCACACACACACACACACACACACACACACACACCACATACTCACACATACACCACACA